AAAACTTGTTTTGGCCATGAAAATTCTCACTGTGAGAGAAAATTTGTACAGTGTTTGTGTGCGCAAGAGAGTAGGAAGAGCAGAGAGGGGGCCGGGAGCCGGAGGGGGGGGGGGGGTGTCTTTAACAAACTCAAAAGAGAGATAACATTGAATTTGAAATTTTGAATAACCCTAGAGGTTTCCCTGAATTTAGTGGCAGAGACATTGAGCAACACAGAGAGGGAGAGAGAGGGGGTGGGGAGAGAGAGAGAGAGAGACAGAGAGAGAGAGAGAGAGAGAGAGAGAGACGGCTGACGGGGAAGAGGAGAGAGGGGGGGATAGGGGGAGGGGTGGGGAGCTAAACGCAACCCGAGTCGCGTCGTCGCAGCGTCACGAACATGGCTGCCAACGGTCACTGACTGCAGCGGGCTCCGCTCCGCTACGCTCCGCCACGGCGTGACACGGAATAAAACGAGCAGAGTGTTTGTCACGACGGAGTGCACTTTATTTCCTTTTAGATAAGCAAGGTCGAGGAGGCGACAGACCGGGCGGGCTGATTAAAACAATAACGATAAAAAAAAAACATTTGCGCAGAAATCCGGACGTCAGCGCCACTTGCTACATTTTCGAGTGTTTGTATTGTACACGGCGAAGTTTCGTGGTGGAGTGTCGGCGGGTACCTCCTCCTAGGTACCAACCACAGCTGGGTTCCACCTCCTGGGTACCACAGTAGGGTGCCAACTCGTGGATACCACAGTAGGGTACCTCCTCCTGGTTGTACCAAAGTAGAGTGCCACCTCCTGGGTACCACAGTATAGGGTGCCACATCCTACTGCAGTAGGATGCCACCTCCTGGGTACCACAGGGAGGCACCACCTGCCCTTGGCCGTGGCTGCTCGTTCGATACCACACGCACGTGCGCGACACGCCGTGCCGCACAAGACGGCGCACGCAAAGTGACGTGACAGTCACGCAAAACCGACGTCGTCGGCGGCCACGTCGTGTTTGTCGTGTGTCGCTGGCCAGTGCATTGTACTCCCTCCTGAGCCGAGCCGAGCTGCGCGCCCTCCTCTGTCAGGCACGTAGACCAAGGGGTTATAGTCAGCAGGTCATGACCCCCCCCTTTTTCCCCTCTCCCCATTCGATCGAAAAATAACAACAAACTTCGTAGGTATAGGCAACGCTTGAGTACTGTACACGAAACAGCGTTACCTTTATTACTTCTCTCCATCCCGAGTGTGAGCGCGAGCAGCGAGAGAGCGACGGGGACGGACGACACTCGCCGCTCGCAGGTCCGTCTCAAGGTCCGCTCAATGCTCGCCTCTCTCGCGGGCGGGAATAACTCAATCGATACGAAGGCGTTGCAGTCCACTGTGCGGCCGCAAAGCGAGTGCAGCGCGAATGCAGCGCGAGTGCAGCGCAAGTGCATCGTAAGTGCAGCCGTGAGTGCAGCCGTGAGTGCAGCGCAAGTGCAGCGCAAGAGCAGCGCAAGTGCAGCGCAAGTGCAGCGCGAGTGCAGCGCAAGTGCATCGTAAGTGCAGCCGTGAGTGCAGCCGTGAGTGCAGCGCAAGTGCAGCGCAAGTGCAGCGCAAGTGCAGCGCGAGTGCAGCGCAAGTGCAGCGCAAGTGCTGCGACGACCTGCACCGGTCCATCTTGCACCGACCTTTGTCATTTCACGCGCCGTTTGCGACGGCCGCGGGCCCGGGCCGGTTGCCGGCCTGAATCCATAGCCCTTCCCTCTCCACCCCAGCCGCTCCCACCTCCCACCCCCGCGAGGGCGCTGGCGCCGTCACGGCCACTGCCATCACGGGGTTGGCGGGCTGGTCGCCGACGCCCGGCGCGCGCTTGCCGGCGCCGTCGCCCCGGTCGATACCCGGTCGATGCGGGCGCACGGCGTCCACGGCGGCCCGGCGCGGCTCCGGCCAGCTGTTCTGCTCGACCCGCGCACTGATAACGACACACACCCACACACGCACACACACATAGGCGAGCAGGCCGGTGGCGAACAAGCCGCAAGCAAAGCGGCATTTATTGGAGGTTGGAAAGGGGGTGGGGGAGGGGGTTACCGTCACGCCGTCGTCACGGGCTCTCGCCGGTCTTGTGACCGACGGCGAGGATGGTGGCGAGTGACAGGGAGAAGGGAGAGATGGGTGAGGGGTGGGAGGGAAAGTCTCGTTTCGTAAAACGCATCGTAATAAAAAAAGACAAGCGGCTGCAGGCAGGAGCAAGCAGCCGATGACGAAAGGGGATGAAATAAACGTGCGTGTGTGTGTGTGTGTGTCTGCGACAGAAAGGGTGTGTGACGAACGGCTTGGGCGCCGGATTAAAACTGAGATGAGAAGAGAGGTGGCGGGGGAGGGGGTGGGAGAGGGGAAGGAGAGGCACCCGCCCCTCGGCTGCAGCGAGCCGATGCCGCCCGGGGGCCCGAGCCGAAAAGTGCCCGCTTGACCGACATCGCCATGGGGCGCTCAGGGTGAAAAGCCTGTCTTCTCTTAAAGTGATCCACTTATATACTGTCCTATAGGGGTAGTAGCTGAGAGGGTGGGGGGCGAGGGGCAGCGTCGTCGTGACGGCCAGGAGAGAGAAAAAAAAACAAAGACAGAAGAGCGAGAAAAGGACGGCCTGTCGTGGGGTGGGTGGCGCTTGTGTCGGC